CAACACATGGATGATGCAAGGTCTGCTGCCAGCAAGAACAGTAGCCAGGCTTCCCCTTGTCCTAGCCATAGGAGTCCAGTAAATGGATTGCTGAGCAATAGGAATCAAGTCCAAAGAGAAAACTTCCTTAGGTCATTGCTATTCTGCAACATGATGTTCTGGGGCTTTTTTTCAAATCAAAATTTCACCTTTGCAATTTTGAGGCTTCAAAGGCTAAAGTCCTGATTGTGGGAATCAACACTGAAAATGTATATATGAAGGGCCTTGCATCTAGGCTATAAATGTGACCATCCATACAGTTCAGCTGAGGACTCTGCAGAAAGAGTGTGATGTGACTTGGAGGGAAGCCATAGCCTTGCAGGGTAGGATCTAAGAACATTTTCTGTGCTTTTCCCAAGCATTCCTAAGTCTATCTATTCTAGCCTATCATCCCGGTTCCCAATGCTATCAGCTCAATTGTAACATGTACTTTTCTCAAGTTATCTTTTGTATTTCTCTAACAACCTTTGTTCTCTTCCTGTAGTTCAGACAGAATATCCCTTTAATAAACAGAGTGGTCAGCAGTCCTCTTCTCAGGTCACAAATGTTCTTTCATTGTGTGACATAAGTCACCAGAGATCCGCCTCAATATTAATCATTGTGGAACTATTCTGCTGGTTCTTGTGATGCCTCAGGCCATTTTTCCTATTCTCATGTTTTTTCTCAATAATCAAGTTCTCCTTTGCTCTATCTTTTCAATCTAAAACTTAACTAGAAGTTCCTTGCCATCCATGCTCACAGTGTTTTAAATCTTCTAGATGCCTTACTCTTCATTCTCAACATAAATCTGGCTAAATGCCCCCAACGGTAGCCATGCCACTGCCTCAACATTAAACTGTCTTGAAATTTGTTCTGCAAAATTTATTAGTCTAGGGGCTGGGGAGATGGCTCCGTAGAATAAGCTCTTGCCTGGCAAGTGCAAGGACCTGAGTTCAATCCCGGATTCTGAAAAAAAAAAAAATTATTAGTCTGTCACTGTTAATCTCAATTCCAAGCAAAGTCTCTGGACATGAGCAAAATTCAGACAAACTTTCTAGTAACCAACTATAGAAATGATCCCTGAAATTATAACCATTGCAGTCCAGATTTCTGTCAAGGTATATCAAGGTATATAACTCATACGATCTGGAGTCCAGCAACCACAGCAGTCCTTCCCAGCAGAAACCTCCCAAGTCTGGTATTTATAGGCATTTCTATCAGCATTCTGGTCTCCTACGCTCTAACCAGAATCTCCCATCAATTATAGCTTATGGCATTCCAGGGCTACTTCTTCAGCCAGCATCTCCAAACCTTTCAAATCTCTTCCCACAAGCTAGTTCCAAAGGCTTATGAATCACCTGGCCAGATACAGCCATAGCAATGACCCCCACTTTTAGTACCAAAATCTGTCA